CCTTTTGGTCAAAGCTCATTTCTTTTTCTTGTCATCGTCGTCGTCGTCGTTATAATTGGAGTTGACAATGTGGCTCGTGAACTACTTTTATTATGCACTTGGGAGAGTTTAGATGGTTGATTCGTACCTGATAATCTCCTCTCTCCAGCCTTATTGTCTCCTCACCACATCACAAACACACAGAGAAGAAAAGTAGGGACCACAAAGTCATATCAATGAGTGCACATCAACAAAAATCTGACAACGGTCACCGGAAGTCAAAATCTCTCTTTTTTTAATTTTTTTTTGTAGTTACATACAGTTTACAGGGAGGTGCCTTGATTCTGATGTGCTACACAGCCAGTGAGTACTAAAGCCCACATCTTACTGAGCGGTCAAGGTTTGCAAGTGTGTGTACACACAGCGAATGTTGTTGTTTTTTCACCGTGTTTGTCAAATGTTACAAAGAAAGACGTTCAAAAGTTGATGGCAACAAGAAAAACAGTTTGCAACCATTAAAATGGTTTGGGAAAGTCTGGCGAATGTCTTTGCACCTGTTTGCAACTTTCAAAACCTTCTCGGCTCAGTGAGATACAAATCGTTAGAACTGCACTGAAAAGGAAGGAAAAAAGTTATAAATTATTAAATTAAAAAGTCATAATGTTATGATAAGAGTCTTAATTTTACGACAGAAATGTAAAACGTCGGACATTTGCAATTAAAAAAAATGTAGTGAGAAAAAGGTGACAAGAATAAAGTCAAAGTTATAATACAGCCATCATTTTATGAAAATTAAGTTATAATACCTGTGTTATAAAAAAAAAGCTGTGAGGCTGTAAGATTAGTCGTCATGTTTTGACAGAATGATCGTGAAAATATACATACATACAGTTTTTAAAATCTCAAAAATACATTTTCTTCTCCTCATAATATTCCAATTTTTATTTTCAAAATATACAACTTTTTATCACAGATATACAAGTTGTTTTTTCCTTGGCAAACTACAATTTTGTTCTTGTGTATGGCACTTTAAAAGAGCTCTCTAAATTGTCCCGAGGTGTGATTGTCAGCACAAAAAGTTATTTGTCAATGTTTGCCCCGCGATTGGCTGGCAACCACTTCTGGGTGTACCCCGCCTACTGCCCATAAACAGCTCGGAGAGACTCCAACCCGCCCGTGACCCTCGAGAGGATAAGCGGAATGGAAAATGGATGGATGAATGGGTGGATATTGCGACCATTAATTCAAAACTACGATAACAATAAAAAAAAAAAACTACCATTGTGCTTGGCAAAAATTGTCATTTATCTTATTTTCCGAAAACAACTTAGGCAACATTGCTCTTCGGCCAGCTGTAGATATGAGACTTTATTCTTTGAAAATGACTTTTTCCTTCTTTTCAGTGTGGGCTCAATACTCCTAGAGCACTACCGTGTCATGTGATCAGTACTCAACCATGTTAGGACTGAACAAAAACAACCCCCTTTTTTTTTTTGTTCCTGCCGTTTATGCTGACATCGTTAGCGGTGACTCCCACGCCATCCCCCCCTACCCTCACCTTTTGTTGAAAACCCTCACGCCCATACATTGCGCTTGATCCCATGTCATGGGGGCACAGTAGCCCCCCCGAGCGGGAGAGGGGGACCCGTGAGGCTCTTACCAAGTGCACTTGACTGTCACTGGGCACCAAAGTGATGTGGGCCTAAACTCCTACCCTGACGGTGAGGGTGCACGAATAGTCCCCCCATCCCCCCCCATTTGCCAACGGGGGGGGGGGGGCGGCGGAGGACTGGCTGGGTTGTGCTGCTACAATGAATGTAAACTCAATTCCTCCACGTTCCTCGATTTGCGAGCGTGGATGTTCTTTTCCGTTGCTGCGCCGACAGACCCGATGGAACGTCGGGGCTGCAGGGGGCGCGGCTTCACACGCGAGCATCGGCGCAAATGTCCGCCGATTCTCAAGGGCTTTGTCTACAAATCCCAATCTTTGGGTGAAAGGCTCCTTGGACTTCATTTCCTCTTAGCGGGAGGGGTCACACCAGTGGCCCCGCCCCTCTCTCCATCTGTAATTATAGTATAAATACATAACAATGTTATACAGACCCATTCATAGTCTTGTACGTTAGTATCTATACAATATATGGAATGGACAGACAAACTTAGTTACAGTAGCAAAAACAGCCAATTTATACTAGCAATGTTTCAATGTACTCTATAATGGTTTTGTGTTACAGTACTATCAGATGAAACTAACGTGCATCATTTCTTTTTTCGTATAATGGATATCCAGTACCAGTTTTTGCTGTGCCTGCGATCGCCCCTCGGCCAAGAAAGGGGCGGCGCAGTTTTTTTTTTCTTTCTTTCTTTCTTTCTTTTCCCGCAACGGAGGAGTTTTATGTGATCTGTAAGTGTATTCATGTGCTTGTGAATTTCTTGAGGTCATTTCTTTTTACTCCCCTTCCCCAATTGAATGTTAAAACAGGGACTTTTACGTGATGTGGTAATAATTTACATTTGATTTTTTTTTTTTTTTTTTAATATCCCACCAAAATGGCGATTTTCAAGTCCTCTGAAGCTTTGGTTGTACTTTTGTACTTTTTTTGTTTAATAGTCATAATGCTGAACATTTATTTATTTCGTGCAACATCCACAAAGGAGTTGTTACTTGGAGTTTTTAGATAGGTCGAACAAGTCAGTGTTTTTTTTTTTTTTTTGCGTGTGAGCGTGTCTGTGTGTATGATTGTTTCTGGTGTTGAACTCATCAGCCTTGTTGGATGGAATGTGGTGTTACTGTGGGAGCGGATGAAAGATAGTGGAGGGGGAGAAACCATGAACAGGCTCTTTCTATGAATGCCTTCAATATGTGATTTTTGTCGTATCGATAATCCTCCTGTCACCACCATCATCATTATCATCGTAATAAACGGATTCTTAACAGTGTTCTCTCCCAGCAAATGAAGGAAAACCACCACCGTCAATAAGAAAATAAACCACAAAGCTATACTCGGTTGAATGTATAATGAGGAAACAAAGCTGTACATAATGTGTAAAAAGAAAAGTTTCTAATCATGTTTATTTTCTATGCACCTTTTTTATTTAAGTGATAGTTTCAATAATAAACATGTCTCCTTTATGGCTTTTTTTTTTTTGTCGTCATTTTGTGGGAGGATTAACATGACATCATCTTTTAACGAGTACACACTATTTTACACACAGGCCGATATCAAGCGATGACTTAGTTGCTATGACTATTTTCAGAATTTATGAAGTAGCGGTTAGACCTACATTCTGTACAACTCAATTGGAAAAAAAAAATTGAGAGGGGAAGTAAAAAAAAAAGGAAGAATGTGGTTGCACGTGCGCACAGTGTACAACTGTAGAGCTGGCTTTGTTGCGAATTAACCAGTCACATTTTTAAACCAGTGTTAAATGGGAGTAAGCATCACTGCCACAAATATACAGTAGCGCCGATTAACCCCAAATACAGTTCAGATGTTCTAGTAGGCTTTTTCTGACATTTTTGTAGTCACATGTTAGAGCGCAAGCCAATTAGCAGACAGCAAAGACGGTCACCATCAATTGGAGGAAATATGGCACAACAGTGGCATTAACAAGGACTTGGCATGCAACTATAACTGTTGAAGAAGAGAAAAGAAAAGAAAAACTGGTCATGGGCACTGCCAGGAGGCTGACGGAATCACTGAAGGAGCTGCATGAATATCTGGTGAGTACTGACAACGATCTTCCCTCTTCTTCATATGCAACTGGGGCTTTACTCGACACGGAGGTAATTTTGAATAGTTTACTTGATAGCTTACTCGAACATGTTTTATTTGGCGATAATCAGTGTGCCGTAATGGTTATTGTTTTGTTTTGTTTTGTTTTAAATATCAATGACTGATGACGCATATATGTCGAAACAGGTTTACTGATACTGTACTTAAAAGGGTGAGAAGGGTTTATGGTTTGCAAGTAGTTTCAGGGTTTATGAGTAGGGTTAAGGTTTAGGGATTGCGAGTAGGGTTCGGGCTTACGATTAGGGTTGAGGTTAAAGATTTCTAAATAGGGTTAAGGTTTGCAATTATGGTCAGGGTTTAGGGTTTGCTAGTAGGGTTAGGGTTTACAATTAGGGTTGAGGTTAAGGGTTTGTAAGCAGGGTTAGGGTTTGCAATTAGGGTCAGGGTTTGCTAGTAGGGTTAGTGTTTGCAATTTCGGTCAGGGTTTATAATTAGGGTTGAGGTTAAGGGTTTGTAAGTAGGGTTAGGGTTTGCAATTACGGTCAGGGTTTGGGGTTTGCAAGTAGGGTTCAGGTTTACGGTTTGCAAGCAGGGTTAGGGTTTGCAATTAGGGATTGAGTTTGCAATTAGGGTTAGTGTTTAAGGTTTTGTAAGAAGGATGAGGTCTATGGTTTGCAAGTAATGAGGTTTGGGGTTTGCAATTAGGGTTAGGAATTGCAAGTCGGGTTAGGGTTGACGGCTTGCAAGTACGGTTAGGGTTCAGGGTTTGCAAGTAGGTTCAGGGTATTTTAGTAGGGTTAAGTCTTTAAGAGTAGGGTTAAAGGTTTGCAACTAGGGTTAGAGTTTGGGGTTTGCAATGAGAATAAGGGTTTGCAAGTAGAGTCAGGGTTTACGCGTAGGGTTAGGTTGAAATTTTACAAGTAGGGTTCAGGTTTATGGTTTGCAATTAGGATCGGGCTTTAGAGTTTTCAAGTAGGGTTAGAGTTTTACCCATACCTCTCCAACTCAGCCCTCTTTCCCCTAACCTTTCTTTTGTGTGAAGTGACCAAAGTGGTGTACACTCGCACAGTGTGGCAGACGGTCACATGATCATTTTTGTGAGCACAGCTGCAAGTTTTGTTCCAGACAATACCTAATACATTACATAATCATCCCCTCACATCCCTCCTTTCCTCTGCGTTAGATTGTCACTCCACCATCAAATGTGTTCTTCACCTTCCCTCTCTCTCTCTCTCTCTCTCTCTCTCTCTCTCTCTCTCTCTCTCTCTCTCTCTCTCTCCCTCTCTCCCTCTCTCCCCCTCAGTTTCTTTCCCTTAGTTTCTCTCTCTGGCATCCGCCCACACTGGACAGACCAAACACCCAAACCACCGTCTAATTGTATTTCATCACCATTTCCTCTCAGCTCGCAGACACCACCAGCAGCTGGCTGACATCGGTAAGTTGACTTTTGTTTTAAGTGAGGCATAAATGTAGTGGTTTACCTAAGAGTACACACAGAGCAGATAAGTCACAAGTGGAAACAAAAAAAAAAAAATTTATATAATCATCAAGTTATTTTCGTACTTTTCTGAACCCATTTAAAAAAAAAAAGTCTTTCGTCACAGCATGAGACTGACTTAGTGTTTTTCCTGTGTTTTGGATTCTTTGGGTTTGTTTTTAAATGTCGTTACTTGGAGATGTTTTGTTATTACATGTAAGGCTGAACAAATAATCAAATTCAAATTGACCATGTAATTTTCAAACAGTAGATGGTTGTTCGGTCGTCTTTATTACATGTGTATATTTTATGTCGTTATCTCATGTCTAAGTTCAGTGCCAAAGTGCAGTCCTCTGCATGTTTTCAGATCATTCTTTCATGAAACAAGAAAAGTTTGTGATAAAGCATTCTCGTCACGTGATTTCTAATTTTCGGGTTTATGTTTTCGCCACAATTGTCAATGCGAATGCTTAAGACTGCATGTAAAAGCGTTAAAAGTAAGTTAAGAACTCGAACTCATTTCATTTGCCTTCATTTTCCGATAAGCCGAACCTTCAAGACCAACAAAATGATGTATAATCAATTTGATATTGTTCATTGTAATAGAGATGAAAGTATTGCTAGTGTTTGTTAAAAAATAAATACACGGGAAGAGGACATTGGAAAAAACAACAACAGCACATTCAACTGCAACTGCAATACTGACAAGGGAAAATTGTCATTCCAGTCGATTATTTTTGCAAAATCGTGCAGCCCTAGTTTTCCGTGAATTTTTTTAGACAGCACTTTGCTTCAACTCTATCAATAAAATTGACTTTATTTCATTTCTTGACTTGAATGTTGTGCCTTATATGAATCTCGAGTTTGTGAAAAATAAAACTATTGAATTGAATTCAGTTGTGACACAACATGCAGGAATTGCTTTCGACTATAACCAAGTATGTTGTGAGCAACTAGCAATATACAAAATCTCTTCAAGCTGCTCCCTCCTCCTCCAAGTTTTCCTCCACAGGGCTTTCAAATGTGATAAGTGTTCAACATTCCTCCTTCTCTTCACAGCTTCTTTTTTTTTTTCTTTTTTTTTATGGTGAAGCCATAAAAGACAGCAATGCCGCTGGCTGTGCTTCTTCCTGTCCACATCATCAGCTCACTGCATGCTTCCTACACTGGCTGATGTGTCTCATGATCTGGAGTTTTGACGGGCCCCCCCCCCCTCTCAAAAAAAACAGCAAGCATCATCAAAGAGTAACATTGCAAATAGCGTAGCAAACTGATCCAAAAAGTTGAGCTTTAGAAGAAACTTTTTAACACTGACTTGGGAAGTGACTTGTTTCTGAGTCAATTGTCTGGTATTCGGCTTTCATTACAAACATCTGCGGAGAAATCAGTGTTATGCACGATTTCAATCGGGAGGCTTGAGCAATGTAAAGCAAATTAAAGGGCGTGTGCTTGTTCCCCCCTGGGGATCATTGGGGCCAATTCCCTCGTTGAAATTTGACTCCTTGAGAACCCCAAAGACGTGATTCCTTCATCGGAATAATAAACAGCAATTCCAAGAGGGTTATTATCATGACCAGTGGCGGTTCAGCCAGGACATCTCTCATGTTGCGATGCTACTAGCATCATTGCTAACTCCCCTAACCAACTTTTGGTGGTCAATAAATATACCACCAACATACAGACTCACCTTCTAGCACCATCGCGCATATTTACTAACCGTACCTCTTAACGCAACCAGCAGGAGTTTTTACATCCCTTTCCAATACCTTTTTTTGCTTTGAAAGGAATTCACACTGTAATACAATGACAATTGAAAACAGAAAACTGGCACAAGTTGTGTAGATGTGCAACACCATCAATCATTTTACTTGGAATGTTGTTTTAGGGCGTAAAGTGTTCACACCAAGTCAGTGGCAATCAAAGTCGGGTCTTGAATCACCAAGCATTCATGTTACAAGGCTCTAATAAGACTGTAGCGTTTATTGTATTATTTTAGGGGGTTGGAAATCACGAAATAAATATTCGAAAACAAAATTTAAAAAATTGAATGCTACTGTATTGTACTTAAAAGTTAAACATAACTCGGCTGTACTCAAATGTACTGCATAAAATCATTAACCACCCACTTTGAGAACCTCTGATCTCGTTGTAGGTTGCTCTTCAGATAGTTGTGCGGCTCTGTCTAAACGCTGGAATCTCCTGTCATTCTTCTCTGTTTGCAGTGGCTGTGCAATGACAACGCTCAAGGTGCTGCATTTACCGGTCTTCCTGCTTGTCCTCCAAGTGCGTCTTTCTGCTCCATTAGAGGACAACAAGATCCCTCCCAGTCTGTGCACGGGCCAGCCTGGCATCCCGGGCTCCCCCGGAGTTCACGGTAGCCCCGGTCAGCCCGGGAGAGACGGACGGGATGGAAGGGATTCTGCTCCGGGGGAGAAAGGGGAAAAGGGGGACATGGGTGCACCAGGTATGAAATTAGGGGTACAGTATGAGTCCATTTCTGTCATTTAAAACTGTTTCAATATATACCCCGCCACTGTGTACTGATGAGCCAATGGCTAGTCCAGATTTTGTTACCATGACTACCGGAGTCGCAAGTACCTTTAACCTGTAGATATAGAGCCCGGAGTGTGTGTGTGTGTGTGTGTGTGTGTGTGTGTGTGTGTGTGTGTGTGTGTTTGGGTGGTGAACAAGGAAGCGCCTTGAAAGACAAAAGCATTTTCACTCGTGGAGGCAGCACTTCATACACATCACAACACCAAACACAAAAACCCACGACCACCGTGTTGCCAACTTCACTGTGCAGTCAAGAAGGGAATGATGGTAACGCTAATCTGTGTATCCAAATAAAAGTTAATGCAGCTCTGCTTACCTTTTGAATTTTACATGCCACCCACTGCAAGGGATTTTGATGTTTCTGCATGACAATGTTTCGGACAGGCCGGCCAATGCTTGAAAGTAGCTCTGGATCTTCAAATAGCATAGCTTGCAGTCAATGGTGGCGAAAGTTGGTGTGAGTGGTGGATAAGATCATGCTCTTTCAGGCTCAAAAATATAAATGTGATTTTGCTATATTATTATTTGACTAGGAGTGTCTCATATTTTTCTTACAAGGGCCGCATACAGAAATGTCTCGGGATGTGTTGACATTCTTCACCTTTATTTAACACATTGAAACCAATCAATCAGTGTCGGTAAAAAAAAAAAAAAAAAGTGAAACTATGACATGCTGTATATGTGATCTTTCCAGTAAACTGTCACAGACTCACCACTCTAGAGTCAAAAACTAAACTTTTTGCCGGGTTCCTCCCTCCAATATTTGTAGAATAACTCACCTCTTCGCAATTTGTGCACCCAGGCCCCCAAAAAAGTAAATTTAAAATTTTTCAAAATACAGGCTGTTGTTCGGCCAATTATTTGTCATATTTTGCACAAGATGGAGGCAGCAAACTTCACAACAAGAGTGCAAATAGAGTGCAAGGTTTGTATCAAAAGTATAAAGTAGTATAAAGCGGAGGTATGAAGCAGTACTGTATACTTTTCACACGCGTTTTGTTGCTGTGAGATAAATTGACAGTTACAATCATATCATGTTTAAAAGTTTTACTTCTTGATATTCCTGTTAAGACATTTTGTTGAATCCACCCACGCAGTTTCCAGCTGCAGTAGAATGTGCCGCACAGAGTGTGAGGGAAGAGTTAGGGTGTGAAGAAATAGGATGACCGTTAGCAGAAAACAGCATGCCGACTCGGCCACAAAAAGGCGCAACATGCAAACAAGAGGAGGTACCGTTATGGCAGTTGTTCTCAACCTTTTTAGAGGTCCCGAACCCCACCAGTTAATACGCACATTCACCGAACCCTTCATGAGTGAAAAATAAATCAATATAATTCCAGATATAAAAAAATAAATCTATATAATTCAAGATATTAAAAAATACATTTATTAAAAACAGAAAAAAGTAAATAAAATTTCAGGAGATAAGTATACTTTTTTTTTTTTTTTTTTTTTTTGTACGCTGTACTATAACGACAGTCACACGCTGACTATTGAGCGAACTAAATTTCCCAAAGCACTGATTGGACAAGCAATGTCATGTGATCATCTGCAGCCAGTGATGGCCAAGCGGGTGTGTCATAACTAATTAACATGTTGAGTCGCTCGTGTCTCACCCTCCATGGCCGAGGCTCCGTCGAACCCCTGAGACCGACTCACCGAACCCCACTGGGGTTCGATCAAACCCAGGTTAAGAAACACTGCGTTATTGTCTTTTGTCTTACGCTTTGAATAACATGTTGCTTGAACTCAATAAAAAGCAGACGGGGGCGGCACAGATGCTGACAATTTGGAAGAGCGATCACGAGAGTGTGGCCTCTGCTGTCCCTCGCGATCAGAAAGTCAATCTTGGCTGGTCCGAGTTACTTGTACAGTCCTGAAACAAGGCTCGTCTCTGTCTTCCGTTGTAGAATTCCCTGACAGTTGCACATTTAATATCCCAGGCCGGTGTACCCCACAGGTCAGACGGGTGAGCAAGGCCTGACTGGAGACAAGGGTGACCCGGGAGAGCGAGGGCAGAAGGGCGATGCGGGCCAATGCGCCGTAGCCCCCAAATCGGCCTTCAGCGCCAAAGTGTCCGAAGGCCGCGACTTGCCCCTCCCCGCAGGCGACGCGGTGGTGTTCGACAAGATCCTCCTCAACCAGCAGGGCGACTACAACTCGGAGACAGGTCGCTTCACGTGCAAAGTCCCCGGCGTGTACTACTTTGCCGTCCACGCAACCGTGTATCGCACCAGCTTGCAGTTTGACCTCATGAAAAATGGACACGCCGCAGCTTCCTATTTCCAGTTTTTCGGCAACTGGCCCAAACCGGTGTCGTTGTCGGGCGGGTCCCTGCTCCATCTGGTTCCGGGGGACCAGGTGTGGATCCAGATGACTCTGGGGGAATACAATGGAATTTACTCCAGCACAAAGACGGACAGCACCTTCACTGGCTTCCTGGTGTACTCAGACTGGAAAAACTCTGCGGTGTTTGCATGAGCGTGTCAGACCTTGCGTAAGGAAACTAACCACACGATGACCTATTCAAGGCGTTCCGAAGAAGAAATTTTAGAGGCAGACGAGACACGCGTACATTGTTGTTGTGTAATGAGGAAAAGAAAAAGTCACAATGGGCACATACGAAACTGCACCTGTTTTTTTTTTTTTTTTCTCTGCATCGACGTTTCTCTCGTCAGGGAAAATCTTTTATATGCTTAAGCACAATTCGACACCGGACGCCTGTCAAAGCGGATGCACAAATACTCGGGATGTGCATCTCTCCAATAAAAAAAAACAGTGCGATACGATACAAAGGCAGTTGATTCTCAAGTGGAATACTCAATTTGGTTCGATTCAGTACGATGACGATATCCTTTGAGATGGTACGGCTCATTTTAAAGGGTTTGATGCAAAGAGTTTTTTTTTTTTTTTTGCAATCATTTTAAAATATCAAGAAATAAATATTGAGAAAACCTTTGACAAAAACGTGAGAGCCCTTCATACTGGACACCGGAGGTGGCGAAAGTAGAAATGCAGTACGTATGTAAAGAAAAAAAACGTGTACTTAAGTTCAAATGTTAAATTGCTACTTCTAAGTTAAAGTTTAGCGATTCTGAGATAGAAAAAAAAATTAGCTACAATGTTGCAGGTTCTTGAAGAGATTGCATCTTTTGGCACGGCTTTTATGCTATCAAAAACAATGCCTTGCATAGCTTTGTTTATGTGAATAGTCATACTAACTGCCTTAAGAAATTTTGCAGGTCCACCCATATTGTTCTGAAAGAAAATTGAGTTTGTAAAGCTCAACTGACAGAACAACTTTAACCTGTGAAACTGAAAACTGGATCAACTTCCCAAATTATGCCATTTTGGCTAATTGACAGTGTTCCTTTCGCATCTAATTTGATCCAAAATTAATTCAGCCATAACACTTCAAAAAGGATCCAAATTAAACAGGATATTCATTTAAGTGGTTCTCGGGCATGAACTCTGCATGAACAAGACGTAGCAGTGCGTGAATGATGAAGCTACAGTCCCAAGAGCAAATTTTCATGCGGCAATTCCATCGCTCCGATCCAACGCTCCACTCTGTGCTTTTTATTCCCCAAACCTGACCAAAGTAAACACATTCCACTGGATCCACACGAGTCTGCGCGGTCTAATGATTTCCCCAAACGTGGCAACATTGTGAGCCGGATGATGTCAGACAAAATGATGTCTTCACTGAGTCTGCGCCACTGAGGGAATTTATTTAGGAGGCACCATTGCTGATTTAATGGACCAAACATTGACAAGGGCAAACACCATGGAGAGGCTTTCTGAGACTGCTGTGACATGTGGAAATATGATTTGAGATGCCTGCAACGCAGAGGTGAGCTCGAAATATTTAAAAAAAAAAAAATTCCCCCGTTTTTTTAGGGTGAAAGGAGAAAAATAGGGAGTTCAACTGAGCCTGGCACTGGGCACTAACTTCCATTGGTTTGCGTCTGCTAGAGTACTCTCGAACCACATCTACCTTCGGAAAGTCTATGACATATCGTTTTAGATGAATAGATAAGATGAATTGCGATATGCACGGCAAGGTTTGCTGAAATTATGAGAATATTTTCAGACTACAAACATGTCGAAAACCATTAAAATGCTAAGCTGTGCTGCAGACCACTGAAAGGGACAAAATTATAGAAAGACCCCTCAATGGGATTCAGTGCAGTTTACATACATACATACATATATACAAAACAAGAAATTATGTGCGTTTTTAGCCAAGCACTTTCAAAATTAAATAGAAATGAAATAAAAATACACAAATAAAATTAAAAACCGCAATGAATTATAAGGCAAAACCTTTTTTTTATCAATTAAAATTTGCATTTTTACTCAGGATGGTGGCAGTCTTAAACTTAAATACAAATAAAATAAAGATGAATACAAAAATAAAATAAGAATACCCAAATTTAAAAAATAGAATGAATAAAATAAAACATGTTAGCTCACCATAGAAGTAGTCATGTGGTTGAAAAAAAAAAAGTACATGAACAAAAAAAAAAATAAATTCAGATGAAACGAAATATGAAATATGCATGGCAAGTGACAACGGTAAAGTAAAAAAAAATGGTAATGGTAAAATAAAAGTACAACAAGAAAAAAAAAAGACTTGTTCTGACAACTTCATCCAGCAGGAGGTTGTCTACCATCAGCCATCAGATCCGTTTAAAGGGCGGCAATTAAAATGAATGAATCAGAAGAAATGCTTTACTTTAGTGATGGGTCCAGCGACACCGATGCGTCGACGCATGCTTAGGGCTCACAGAGCAATCCACGTGTTGGTGTGTGTGCTGCTTCATGAGATCACGTGATCAACACGTGAACTGCGTCGGTGCAGCCTGGACTGCCGAAAAAAATGACCATGTATAGTAAGGCGTTTTTTACCGAAAAAAACGACCATGTATAGTAAGGCGTTTTTT